GGGGGGGGGGGGGGGGGGGGGGGGGAGAGAGAGAGAGAGAGAAAGTGTGTGTGTGTAGGGGCCCAACTGGACTCACTGGCCGTGATGGGAGTATAATGGCCCATTAGAAGGGGGAACCTCATACTCCAAGCAATTTGTAGGGCTGACTGGAATTAGAGACGGCCACATAAGGCTAAGTGGAAGAGCCTTTGCTATTTAGGAGTTGTGAAAGGGATTGAAGCGAATGAATCAGAGTGTGTATTGCATCCTACTGGGTGGGAACTGCTGTGGGTGGAGTAACACTCTCTTAACTGTGAGAATTCATTTTATGGCATGTAGGCATGGGTCACGCTCATAGCAAGCCTTTAGAGACCATGCTGAAAAATTTCAAGAAGGGGTTTAGTGGAAATTATAGAATAGCTATGACACCAGAGAAATTAAGGACTTTATGTGAGGTAGACTGGACAGCATTTGGGGTAGGTTGGCCCTCAGAGGGGACCCTAGACAGGTCTCTTGTCTCCCAAGTAAGGCATGAGGTTATATGCAGTGAGCCAGAACACCTTGATCAATTTCCGTACATAGACTCGTGGTTGCAGTTAGTTTTAAACCCTCTGAGGTGGTTAGGAGGACAGACATCATATGTTTTAGTGGCCAAGGGACAAACTGCTAGAAACCACCCCCCTCAACCCCGCCAAGAGATGCAGACTCCCAAGGTCCAGGCAGACTCAGTGGCAGAGACTCAGACTCCCAAGGTCGGGGCAGATTCAGTGGCAGAAACGACAACTCCCAGGGCTCTGGCAGATTCGGCAGCCAAAGAGTTTTTGCCAATAATGCCCCCTCCTCCTCAGGGACTCCCTGCCCCTGGGCCGGAAGCCTAAGCACCCCTACCAGAGTTGTACACCCCTAAACCACCCAGAGTAGACAAAAGAGAGTGCAGAAAAACTCCTCCCATTGCTACCCGCTTCCTGGAAGGAACTCCCCCTCTGGCAGCCCGTCTGTGATCTAAGGCAGGGGTGCAGATGCCTTTAAGAGAGCAAAGGTACACAGAAGTGGATGAGGACGGTCACATGGTAGAAAAGCGTGTTTTCACGTATCTGCCGTTCACCTTGGCTGATCTTATCAATTGGAAAAATAACAACCCGTCTTATACTGAGAAACCCCAGGCTCTCATTGATATACTGCAAACTATTATTCAGACTCATAACCCCATTTGGGTTGATTGCCATCAGTGGCTTATGCATCTTTTTAACACGGACGAAAGGCGGAGAACACTCCAAGCCACTTCTAATTGGCTGCAAGAGCATGTACCTGCAGATTACCAGAACCACCAAGAGTATGTCAGGGTCCAGTTACCAGGAACTGACCCCCAGTGGGATCCGAACACCCCGGAGGACATGCAGAGGCTAATCCAGTATAGAGAAGCCTTGCTGAAAGGATTAAAAAAGGGGGCCCAGAAAGTTACAAACATTAATAAAGTCTCTGAGGTTATTCAAAGAAAAGAGGAAAGCCCCACACAATTTTATGAAAGGCTGTGTGAAGCTTACCACATATATACTCCTTTT